GTGTGTGTGTGTGTGTGTGTGTGTGTGTGTGTGTGTGTGTGTGTGTGTGTGCTTGTGCGTCTGTGTGTATGTTCTTCCACTGGCAGATGGAAGCGATGAGAAAAAGGACTACTGCAAGTCGTTCAACTGCAGTGCTTACAAGGGGAACGCTACTAAATGCCCGAACGGAGTTGAATGCTTGTGGGGGGAGACATATGACAGATCAGATGACCCTAAGTACAAGTTGTGCGATGGCATCCCGAACTGCAAAGACGGAAGCGACGAGGCCGCGTGGTATTGCAACAACCGTCTCTGCTCCACTCCACGCATCGGCGAGGAGCTCTCAATGATAACTTTTTTCCGTTGCGATGGAGGGCGATGTTTGCGCACCGAAGCCTTTTGCAATGGAACGAAGGAGTGCCGAGATGGCTCAGACGAACAGAATTGCCAATCCAAACCTTGTCCGGAGGGATTCAGGAAGTGCAAGGACGGTCGGACTTGCCGTTATGCATTCGCATTCTGCAACGGCATACGCGACTGCCCGGATGGATCTGACGAAAGTTCCCAAACATGCGGGTGTGACCTGAAGCAGCGGCTCTGTGATGACAATAAGACCTGTGTTCCCACACTGAAATTCTGCGATGGAATACAGGATTGCCCTGACGGGTCAGATGAAAATAGGGAGTCGGGCTGCATAGATCTGAAGTGCAATGCCAGCAGCGGCGAGTACTACTGCCCAACGGGACCACTGTCGTTCTCGTGTCTTTCCAGATCCGATTTTTGCAATGGCATGCCTGATTGTCCGGACGGCTCAGATGAAAAGATAGCCAACTGCAGGAAGCTCCCATGCGACTACGAGTCTGACTTCCGATGCGAGGACGGCAGCCGCTGCATAACCTTATTAGATCAGTGTGACGGGGAGTACAGTTGCCAAGACAAATCGGATGAGAAATCCAGCTTGTGCAAAACTTTCGACTGCAGCAGCACCGGAAAGGTGAAGTGTCCGAGCGGGGTGGGATGCATGTCCAGAGAGAATCTTTGCGATGGAAAACGAGACTGCCTGGATGGCAGTGATGAGACACGCGCTGCTTGTGCGAGCATTACCCGGTGCAAATCTGAACAAGTGCTGTGCAAATCTCCCCGGAAATGCAGGCCAGGTGTTTACTGCGATGGCATATATGACTGTAGAGATGGGGCTGATGAGGACCCCAGCTTCTGCAAGAACTACACGTGCGGGAGTGAAACATGGCGCTGCAAGAACGACATTCAATGCATCGGAACTCCGTTGGTGTGCGATGGGAAGAACCATTGCAAGGACGGTTCAGATGAGGAGGCTAGTTTCTGCCAGTCTTACAACTGCACATCGCCTGAAGGAACAGGCTCGTCCCGCTTCAAGTGTCCAACGAATGACAAGAAGTGGAGCACTGTGTGATGGATACCACGTGGACTGTGCTGATGGTAGTGACGAGAGTGCCGCCTTCTGCCAGACGTACAACTGCCCTGCGGATCAGTGGAAGTGTACAAAGACTCCGCAGTGCATCAGTGTTGAAAGTGTGTGTAATGGATATGCAGACTGCAAAGATGGCACTGATGAGGGTGCGGAATTTTGTAAGACTTGGAAATGTGCTCCGGACTTCTGGAAGTGCAAGGATGGGAGGAAGTGCATCTTTGGAGATGTTTACATCTGTGACGGGGTACCCGAATGTCACGATGGCTCTGATGAGTCTGTTGAAGTCTGCTCTAATATGCCATGCGAGGAGTTCGGCAGAGTCAAATGCCCTGACAGCCCAGGCATGTGCTGTTAGTGAGAGGCAGAGATGGCAGGGCATGTGTGTGTGTGTGTGTGTGTGTGTGTGTGTGCGTGTGTGTGTGTGTGTGTGTGTGTGTGTGTGTGTGTGTGTGTG